TTTACATGTCCAACCATTTTCCACCCGAACTTTGGCGCGAACCATTTTAACCTTGAACTTTGTTTATTGCTCAGTGCTACCTCCGCCGTGCAATGACCTTCACATTGCTATCTCGTTCGTCGTTGGGGATTTTACATTAAATGTCAAAAGGATTAATTATGATTGATGAAAATTTAGCAAATGTGAGGTTACGAGCATTCTTGAAAAAAATGTTCAGTCAGGGTCCTTATTCTATCGAGAGAGAAAGAGAAACGAGAAAAAAGAAAGTTAAAATAGAAAAAAAGAAAGAGAAATAGAAATAGAGAAAGAGAAAGAGAAACCTCCATCACCTCCACTTCTACCTCTTTCTCCACCTCCACCACTGCCTCTATATCTACCTCCACCTCCACCTCCCTCTACCTCTACCTTTACCTCTACCACTACATCCACCTCCACTTCCACCACCTTCACGTCTACCACCACCTCCACTTCTACCTCTACTTCCACCTCTACCACCCTCACTTCCACCTCTACTTCCCCCTCCTCTCCCACTTCCACCTCTACTTCCACCTCCTCTCCCACTTCCACCTCTACTTCCCCCTACACTTTAGATTGCCACAGAGGGTGAAAGTGGATGACCCAACATTGACGTGCCGTAAAAAGTAGTTTTTAAAAATTTGCTTTATTTTTTTATATTATTATTTTTTGTCCATATCACTTTGCAAGTTCTCTCGAGTGGATTTTAAAAGTCGATGGGAAATGGGAATAAGTGAGGCATGGCGAGAATAAATGCTGAGAAAAGAAGAGAGAAAGGGAGAAAGGGAGAAAGGGAGAGGTGAGACCCGAGTGACTTTTGTGAATCGCGAATAGTTGGCAAGAGTTTAAATGTCATGGCAGGGAAATATGGGAGGATTTGTTACTGAAGAACGTTGCATATCCTCCGTTGTTGATCATTTTGCTGCTGTTCTTGTTGTCGTCATCATCATGATCAAAATATTCAATATCATCAAAATCGTGATTATTATTGTTGATATTGTTATTATTATCATTATTATTATTATTATAATTATTATTATAATTATTATTATAATTATTATTATTATTATTATTGTTATTATTGTTATTATTGTTATTATTGTTATTATTGTTTTTATTGTTTTTATTGTTTTTATTGTTTTTATTGTTTTTATTGTTTTTATTGTTTTTATTGTTTTTATTGTTTTTATTGTTTTTATTGTTTTTATTGTTTTTATTGTTTTTATTGTTGTTATTGTTATTATCATCACCCTTTCTTACATCCCACCTTCTGCGCCTTCCACAGCGTGTCGTCGTGGGCGCGGAGGACAGATCTTCCTTGGAGGATGGCGTAGCGACAAACGGAAGGGCGGCGGGCGTCGAGGGAGGGCACCACCAGGAGGAGGAGGAGGAGGAGGAGGACTACGGGATCCTGACATTGCTGCCTTTCTATCCTTGGCTCAAGAAGAGGGTCAGGTCGGCGACGGAGGTGAGTGGTGGACTCTCTCTCTCTCGTTCTCTCTCTCTTTCTCTCTCGTTCTCTCTCTCTCTCTCTCTCTCTCGTTCTCTCTCTCTCGTTCTCTCTCTCTCTCTCTCTCGTTCTCTCTCTCTCCCTCTCTCGTTCTCTCTCTCTCGTTCTCTCTCTCTCGTTCTCTCTCTCTCTCTCTCTCTCTCTCTCTCTCTCTCTCTCTCTCTCTCTCTCTCTCTCTCTCTCTCTCTCTCTCTCTCTCTCTCTCTCTCTCTCTCTCTCTCTCTCTCTCTCTCTCTCTCTCTCTCTCTCTCTCTCTCTCTCTCTCTCGTTCTCTCTCTCGTTCTCTCTCTCGTTCTCTCTCTCGTTCTCTCTCTCGTTCTCTCTCTCGTTCTCTCTCTCTCTCTCTCTCTCTCTCTCTCTCTCTCTCTCTCTCTCTCTCTCTCTCTCTCTCTCTCTCTCTCTCTCTCTCTCTCTCTCTCTCTCTCTCTCTCTCTCTCTCGTCTCTCTCTCTCTCTCTCTCTCTCTCTCTCTCTCTCTCGTTCTCTCTCTCTCTCTCTCTCTCTCGTTCTCTCTCTCTCTCTCTCTCGTTCTCTCTCTCTCTCTCTCTCTCGTTCTCTCTCTCTCTCTCTCTCGTTCTCTCTCTCTCTCTCTCTCGTTCTCTCTCTCTCTCTCTCTCTCTCTCTCTCTCTCTCTCTCTCTCTCTCTCTCTCTCTCTCTCTCTCTCTCTCTCTCTCTCTCTCTCTCGTTCTCTCTCTCTCTCTCTCTCGTTCTCTCTCTCTCTCTCTCTCTCGTTCTCTCTCGTTCTCTCTCGTTCTCTCTCTCTCTCTCTCTCTCTCTCTCTCGTTCTCTCTCTCTCTCTCTCTCGTTCTCTCTCTCTCTCTCTCTCGTTCTCTCTCTCTCTCTCTCTCGTTCTCTCTCTCTCTCTCTCTCTCTCTCTCTCTCTCTCTCTCTCTCTCTCTCTCGTTCTCTCTCTCTCTCTCTCGTTCTCTCTCTCTCTCTCTCTCTCTCTCTCTCGTTCCCTCTCTCTCTCTCTCT